TCCTTAACCTGTTCAACCACAGTGCCCCCTGTAGGGGGGCAGAGGAGGAGCTGTGCTGGTTTGTGCTTCCACAGAAAAGTCAGAATCTCAGCAAAACGCTCACAAAACCACATCCATGACCACCAAACAGCTAAAACATCAAACATCTAAACAGCAGGTAAATAAGATCCTGCAGAAAGGTGTAAACACAAAGTACGGATTCCCCCGTTCACCCAACAGCATGTACATGTGCACAGACAGCGTCTCTGCTGAAAGCAAAGATCTCACAGATTTCAAAGCTGCATGTTTGGCCTTCGTTTGCTGGTCCAGTAAATTTTGTTTAGAGCGTGACAAAAATTACACTTTGCATTTTGCTGTATGCTATATAGAGGTTAGGGGTTATATGTTGACACAATGGTATCTGCTGTGATGTTTACTTTGTTGTGATTTTATTTTGATACCAAGATGGTTTACACAGAGTTTGTAATCATTCCTTTTTGGCGCGTCATTTTCACGCATAAAGACCCTGAAATTTAAAAGTATCTGGATGTTGTGGGGCTGTGTTGGTTGAGCAACATCTCTGCAACACTTTGTGAAAGTCAAGATTGATAAACTGGGCTGGTTTCAAGTAAGCAACTCAAGTGTGTGCTCCACCACACACAAGCTGGTGTACTACATATCAAACAATTATTCAAGCAGTCGTTGTGTGATTGAACTTTCTGAAAGACTTTCCGCTTTAATTCAAGACAGTTTCTAAAAGATTTTACAGCCATCCTACACATGATCGGCTTTGCTAGCATTTGACTGAATTTGAGCTGCAACTGTAGCTGTGCACACTTCAGAATCATTGCACTACTTCTATCAGCTCTCACATCATCACTGAACATTCACAGACTGACATGCCCATCCCCTAAAATTGCTCCAGCATGTTTGGTAGCCTGTGGTATCCTCATGATTTCTCTCCAGCCCGTAGTTTTCTCTTCACATTTATTCTTTTGCAGGTTAATCTTGAATTTAATCTGTGATTAAACTATCAGCATGTTTGGGAATTCTTTGTGCTGATGGGTGCCAATGTGTGCTAAAGCTCCTGCAGGAGGACCTGGAACTTGAGCAGGTGAGGGTGAACTCTCTGACCCACATGGTGGTGGTGGTAGATGAGAACAGTGGAGATAGCACCACTGCTGCCTTGGAGAGCAAACTTCAGGCAAGTACACACACACACACACACACACACACACACACTGCACATATTTTTGCTGATCACACAGATTAGCAAGAAATTTTATTGACGGGCTAATTTTCTTTCTGTTTTTTGAGTTCTCTTTTTTTCTCTCCAGCAAAACGCTTTTTGTTTCTAATGGACACATTGAGCTTGTTTTGTCTTTGCAGTTGTGCAGTAATTAGCCCTGTCAGTAAGACATTGTTGCTGTATGTGTGTTTATCTTTTTGCTAAATTAATTGACTTGTCATCATCACACAAACTCCAGTTCTTTGTCTCTGTGATTAATTATCCTTCCTTCTCTTAGCCTTTGATGTGCACTTGTTTGTTCCCATTGTTAACTCACAAAATCTGCAATAATTAAAGTAGGATTCCTAATACTCCAGAAACAACGAGGGAAACATGAGTGCTAGAAACTGCAGTTTGAGTGGCCACCTAAGGTTAGCCCCAAAATTGAGTCAAGCTCTTCAAGGGTAATGTGTTAAAATGTTATGCCATCTATAATTTGGAGAGACCATGAAACTTTTTTTTTCTTGAAAAAGAAAAAAGAGAACGGAAAATGAATCTGTGGCAATAACGAGAGTCAGTTTTCTATGATTTGGACAAAAATCTGATGGTAGAAACAGACTGACTGTGGGCACATTGGTAAAAGCAAGAAGGATTACAGACAAAGAGAAAATCAAATCTGGAGCCCATTATAACATATTTTATTCATGGATGAGATGAGCACAACAATGTCAAACTACAGCTTGAATCAGAGGTAAAGGCTGCTGTGAACCAAAGAAAATTAGGACACTTATATAAAATGATGCATTAAAAACGTCCTTCACAAAAAACAAATTTGAGAGGTGATGGATAAAATATAACAGTAGGCTGCATTGTAAAAAAAGGCATGATGAGCTGAAAATGAAGCGCTGGTTTAACCAACCTCACATAAAGGTGTTTGACAAAGAGCAGAAACCTGCAGATTGCAGGTGTAACATCAGAGGTCTCTGTGCAGAAGACGGTAATCCTCAGGAATAGTTTCTCCAACTCTAAGGACTCAAAAGCTTGAGGATATCACGCTCTAGGGGACTGAGTGGGATCTATATGGGTGTCTGTGTTTATTTCGTTTGTGCAGGTGCTCGGTGACCGCTGGGCAGCGATTTGTAGATGGACAGAAGAACGCTGGATTCTGCTTCAGGAGACTCTCCTGAAATGGCAGCACTTCACCAATGAACAGGTATGATTGTGTAAGGTAGGGTCACAGATAAGATTGCTAATGTAGTGAGAAACCCGAATGTGTCTGTGCATGTGAGGCTTCTTCACCTGTCTAGAACAGATTGGATAAATCCTTCTGGTATACACTTATTGTCTACATTTTATCTATACCTGTTCAACTTGCTCGTTAACACAAATGCACACGACCAAATTGTGATGGCTTGACTGGTTCAGAGTATCTCTAAAACTGCAGGCGTGTCAGAGACATAGAAGCCAGGAGAATAAATCGGCTGTTCTCCACTGAACAATCTGAGGTGTACTCTCAGTAGCAGGCAAACAATAAATGAACAGCCCACCAAGGGTGAAGACAGAGCAATACTGGAAGAGCATACGGGAGAAGGATGCAACGCATAAGAAAATGCTCATTGGCTACCTCCCCTAACTTTGCCTAGTAATTAAGGAAACAACAGGCAGCTCATTGTGCTGCCTGTTGTTGTTGTTGTTGTTGTTGTTGTTGTTGTTGTTGTTGTTGTTATGACCTTTGCTTGACCATCTCTTTTGTTTTCCTTTTTCATCTTTCTCTCCTACCATCTACCCTACCACTGTTATCTTCTTTTCAATTTTTCTCACCTGTCGGCCCATTTCATCCTTTTTGGCATCTAACTTCCCTCCTTCTTTTTCCCTCCTATTTTCTGTTTTCCCATCTTTAACTCGTTATTTTGTTTTCTGTCAGTCTCCTTACTTTCCACTGGTTTCTTCTTCTTTTATTTCAGTGTTTCCTATATGCCCCTTTATCGACCCGTCCTGATCTTGGTTCTGTGAGAGGTTTCTTCCTGTTAAAAGGGAATATTTCCCTCCCTTTCTCACAAAGCGCTTGCTCATAGGAGATCATCTGATTTTTGGTTTTCTCTGTATTATTGTAGGGTCTACCTTACACTATTCATATACAGTCACCTTTGAGGTGGTGTGGTACTATAGAAACAAAATTGAATTTCATTTATCTTTCCATTTCTACACATTTTCTCTACTCCTTTCTTGTCAAACTCTTTTCTGTCTTCTTGTTTTCTTACAGTGTTTATTTGACTCCTGGTTAACTCAGAAGGAGGAGATGGTTGGGTCCATTAAGACAACCAACCTGAAGGACCAGACGGAGATGGTGGCCTGTTTGCACCATCTTACTGTGAGTATGCCTATACCGGAGCTGCTGTACCTTTCTGTAAAGAACAGAAAATGTTCCTACTTAAAAAACTCTGCAGCAGTTACACGAGTGACATGTGTGTCTGTGTCTGTTCCGTAAGACTGTGAAGGCAGACCTTGATGTTAAGCGTCCCACCATGGACAAATTATGCTCAATGAGCCAGGATCTGCTGTCCAGTGTTAAGAACAAAGAGGTGGCCAGCAAACTAGAGGCCAGACTGGATAGCTTTGCCCAGCGCTGGGAGCAACTAGTCCACATCCTAGAGATGGGTATCACCCAGGTACAGTGAGTGCTGAGTTGTCTTTTACTGTATGTAGATTCATGTGAACATCATGGCACATTTTTTTACATTGTGTCAGTATTTATTTAACAAAAACTATGTCAATGTGCATAAAACAAAGTGTGAAAAAGACACTCAAGACAGCTACATTGTAGCCACAGCCGGTGTGGCTACAATGTAGCTGTCTTGATTAAAGTTCAAAACAGTCCAATGAGAACAGGAGAGAACAAGTCTAACGTTTAATTGTTGCCATGAGAAAGACTCTTCTCTCTAAAAGAGGAACTCATCTGTTGCGAGAATCGCTGAATCTAGTTTACTTGCTGATGGTAGCTGTGTTTCCACGCAAGGCGAAGGTTGTAAGCAGCAGTAAAAGCAGTAAAAGCAGTGCCAGCGGCAGCTTGTATCACACGCTGGTTTCCCATCAATTTACTGTGAAAGACAGGTTTATCTACAATGAAGCTGCAGTTTACTGTGAGTGCAAAACAAGCAGAGCTTTCAGTAACAACAACCAACTGTGATCAAAAGATGGCAGTAATGTAAAGGATGCATGCAAACAGGCAAAGCTCTGAATGAAAAGATAGTGGCTGCTTCACTTTTGGTGCATTTTATGCACATTTAAACAGATTTGACTGTTTAAAATAAATTCATGTGGCCTCATAATCAGAGAACTTTGGTTTTCTCATCTGCGATTTGTTAAGATTAAGAAAATACCAACTGAAAACCACTTAATACACAATGTTTTGTTGAGGACTGCTTGTATGTTCACGTACTTTTAAATGCACACATTAATTAGTGCTCAAGCTGGTTGCAGAGATATCGATGTTTCTCTCTCTCTTTCTTATTTTATTTATTTTTCCAGCAGATTGACCTCTACATACACATACATACACTCTATATATGCTTCTTCTCACATTGTCATTACAGTCTACTCTAAAGTCAGAGTCTAAATTGCTGCTTAACTGCCTCCACAGCTGTCTGAGTGTGCACTCACCTACATACTCACACACTCAGTCTACAGCTCTTGTTGGAACCCACACTTATACCGCAAAACACTGTACTCATGACCTTGTATGATAGATGATGTCCAACCATCAGTTATCACCTGTCAACAATGAGGATTTGTCATCTGTATAATTCAGCTGCTGATGTTAAACAGTCTGCCTGAGTGTATTATGCTCTCCCTGTAACATTCAGCTCTCGGCAGCTGTCCGTGCAGCCCAGCACTCCGAGCTAACCCACTCAGTAACTGCGACTGTAACCAAAGTGACAACACGAGAGAAGATGTCAGCTGTCCGCCAGACCCGAGAGTCACCGCCTCCACAGAAGAAGAGACAAGTAGTTGTGGATTCTGAGCTCAGGAAAAGGTGTGTTTATGTTCCTACACTTGAAAACGTGAGCGTTGGAGCATTATTCATTTCAAGATGCCTTCTAACTTTTATTAAATGTTCAGACACATGCATCCCTTTTTACTCTCTTATCTCAGCAGGTAGGTGATGAACTATTGCGAATACTCATAGTATCTAGGTTTGGTGGTTATAATAGTAAGCAGCTTTAAACTGAACTTTTGCCAATAGTCAAGTAGCAGTTTCTGAAAATACTCCTCAACCTTGTAGTAAGTAGAAAAGCAAGCTTAGAAGTTTTGTAGTGGTAGTTTAACAGTGAATCTTTTTGGTCATTTTTGAGGCATTTTGTTAAATTTAAGGGTTTTCTACAGCACTGAGTAATTCTCAGCTACAATGCGTGAGCACAGTCAGGTGAACATTACTTTGGATCCCAGGCAGGCGGGGCACGTAGCGTGCTGGTCCTTGTTGTACAAAGAGAAACCAAACCCCTGAGGACAGGGCAAAACAGAAGAGTTCT